CTGTAGGGTTGTAGATTTTAAGTGCCTAATGTGAAAATAGGACTTGAAACTATTTGTCTTAGATAATTAAAATTAATTTTGAATGTTTAGATGTCTGTCTCAAGAAAGTGATTTTTTTTTTAATATTTTTTTTTTTTTTTACATTTAAGAGAAATGCATATAGCTGAGAATATAGTTATTTGACCCTTGTCCCATAGACATGGTGTATTTTTTTCAGTCACCAGGAAAATGACTGGGCTGTGTGTCAGACCTTTGGCGTTTGTCCTAACTTTGACTTTGCTGAAGGAAGCTGTTAAGTAAATATTTCAGCATCCCTCAGAGGCTCAAACTTGCCACATAGGACCATGCCTTTGCTTAGCTCTTTGGATTTCACTGTTCAGCAAAGATGAGTGTATAGAGCTGCAGAGGAAGACAGACGCCCTGGAATGCATCTGGCCATTAATACAGTGTTTTACACAGGCTTGCAGGATTCTTAGGAGTTGTTTCCCAAAGGTAAATAGAACCAGTGAGAACTACTTGAAATCTCTTTTGAGGTAGTCTCTAGTTGTTTAACACCAGAGGATTGCATGATGTGATTTTGTGTTTACAGGATTGAGCTCCTTGTCAGTTTGAGATCAGTAGATGAAGGAGCACTTGGAGACAAGCTGCCAGTGCCTAGTGGAGAGAATGTGGAAAAATAATCTTCTCTTATGGAATATCACCAAGCTTTTTCAGATTGGCCAGACTGAATCTTGTGTTTCTTCTAGAGAAAACCAACAGCTAGAAATGCAAATCAAATTCTGCCTGACCCCCTGCACAGAAAGACCTTTTGATAATTGCTCCTTGTATTGCTTTTGATGTTTAGAATCCTCAGATTATTATTAGACTATTTAAAACGTTTTATATTTATTAAGTTGTGTATGATATGGGAAGAATCTTTCCAATAAACATGATATACACCCTTTGCTATTCTAGCATATGTAACATTATTTTCATGCATTTTAAAAGAATAGTTTAATGTAAATAACATCTCAAATGTAAACATTTAAATAGTCTAGTCAGGTTTTTTTGTTTGTTTGGGGTTTTTGGATTTTTTAAAAAAAGTAATTATCTCAGAATAACTCTTTGGGAAAGAGATGGTGCAAGTTCTGGGATTACTTTGTGTGAAGAAAGGTGTCTGGTTAGAGTTGGAGAATTTTATGAAAGGAGTTTCTGTTAGCTAAGGGAGAAACTGATAACCACCACTAATCATTCAGTGAAGACTTAGAATTAGGAAGAACTATATAAAGCGAATGTAACTGGAATATTTTTTATTATTGTGAAAATCTATTTAATATCAAGTCAAATAATTTGTTTATCTCCAGTTTCATTGGCTGCAACTTTGATTTTCCTGTATTTAAAATTTGGGCACCATATGTTAAACTGTTGTACACAATGCCATTGGTTATCTGGAAATGATAAATCTCATTGATTTCCTAATTTTATTATGTACACAGTTAATTGTAATCCAGGATTACAGCAAACAAGATGCTATTTTCTAGACAACCTATGGACATTTCCCTCAGAGTGTGATTGTTACGAGGCGAAGAATACAAAGAGAATACCATTTGTGCTATCCTCACAGGAGCTGTCAATAAAAGATGTAATAGGGGATTTAGGAATCTGGAAATGGCCAACTAATTTATGTGAATCTATTTTATTTCAGCTAGAAAGACCAAGCTCTGTTTCGTCTGCACTGCATATTGCAGAGCACAGGCTGTCTATAGAAAACCAGGCGGCTGCATATGGATAGTCCCTTGATATCATTCACTTGCTGTGTAATCTTATTATGCAAAGTTCTAATCTTCACCTAGAATGAATGCCTCTGGGTCAGAATATAGTCATATCAGGGTTTTCGAGGTCATGTTTTGTGATCCTTAGCTTATTCTTCTAAGTAGGGCTGGGATTTAAAGAGTATTCCCCAGACACTAGCAGAGATAGACGGCAAAACCTGCTGCCTTTTTGGAAGACAAGACCAACATGAGGTCCCTGGTAGGATTAAACTTGATTTGTAGCTGTAGGATTTTTTAACAGATGTATTATTGGACAGGGAATAGGGGGCCACCAGCACAGCGAAATTGGATCACGATTGGCATTCTCAGGGAGTCCGCTGGCTGCTAAAACAGCAGCTGCATGTGGATTTGACTTCTTTCAGGTGAAGCGACTTCCAGTCATTTGGAAAGATGGGATGAAAAGGAACCTTGGTGATAATTTTGATGTCTGTGAGATTTAGTACCAATGTAATGGGATTATCGGTAACACCTTCACTGCAGAAAAAGCCACCTGGTGCTATAACTGGCAGCAACTGAGAACTAATCCTTTCCCATCTCTTGGATGTCATTCATGACATTCAAAGTGATTTCCACCCTGCTAGCTGTGATTAATTTTATAAACAAACAACAACAAAAAAAATCAAATGATGAAGGCATAGACTATGTAAGAAAAAGGGAACAGAGGATAATAGTAATTATATTTTACATTTTCTTTTCTGCAGAGGATAAACTATACAGTTCTTGTCAAATAACCAAATTGTATTCTACGTGATAAGGATGGATGTGTAACTTCTTCTAATCAATGTCTGTTTGGTATAAAATGTTCAGCTACCCACATATGATTGTAGGTAGTACCTGGAAGTAATTACAACAGGTTTTATGCCATTAGTTCTGCGATAAGGTTGTTTATACAACAGATCCATTAAGTTTTCAAGGGGCCTATGACTTAAATCATTTGTTTTATTGTGCTTAATGGTCTTGTGCCGTGTGTGGTGGAGTTGCCTGCTGACAGCACTTTGTATTAAAAATAATTGTGTGATGTGGAAAAACGTTCAACCATTTACCGTCTTGTCATCAACAACATGGCATTGTTTTAAAGATGGACTGATAAATTGTTTTCTGAGGAAACAGTTATTTTACTGATGCTTAAGATGGAACAATTTAAAGATAAATATTCTGTGGTTGTTTGTTTTGTTTTTGGTTTTTTTTTTTAATAAACTAGAGGTTTGGTTTTTCCTGACCGGATTTATTCTTGCTACGACCATTCACGTATTAACTAGAAGTTGTTACTTAAAACTACATGGAAACTTTAAAGATTGTAGTTATTTTGTGGAATAAACACTAGATGCCTAAAGATGGACCTTAATGTTAAAGAATAACCTCTGAAGTTCCATCTTAGGTTCAAACTGTGTGTAACTTAGGTGGTTATATATATATGCTTTAGTTTGAAATTAACTTTGTTGCATAGTAATAAGAAGCCTTATATAAGAGCGAAGAATTTTTTCATCCTTATCATGAACATCTGATAAGCCCAAGCAGTTAAAAAATCACATTTATAAACTGGGACTGGTGAAATCCATGTCTCAGGGCTTAAGGATTTATTTTAAGAGAACTGGTGATAAAATCTGAGACCTCTTCACTAATGTTCTATCATCATGGTTAATTTTATACTAGGACAGCTCTAGCAGTAGGTAAAACTCACTCTGAATACTGTGTTTTCTGGAATAATTTTCAAGTACATCCCTCTAATTCTGAGTGTAACTACTAGGAAGTATGTCATCCAGGGTCTAAGAAGAAATCAGCTGCAATCGGTTTGATTTCATAATAAAAACAATATTTTAGTTATAGCCTGATATCTGTTGCCATGAGAGGTTTACATTTTCTCTCTGTTGTTACCATTACATTTGGTTCGATCAAAATTGCCTACTTATTCTGGTTAATGTAACATAATGTTAATACGATTCCTTTTTACCTGTAATACCCACAGGTGCCTGAATTCTGCACTGTCTTAGTATATTAACTAAGTATTGAGCAGTATTTCTGTCTGCCTCAACTAAGAAGCAATGTGAGGTTCCCCTTCTCGGAGGTGGTGTTAAGATGTATTGATGATCTTCTCTTGAAAGATAGTTGTGGTCATTAATTCACACTAGCTGTGGAACTCAGATTGATTTCCTGTCACTCCATCTTCCTTTTATCACCTGGAACACACTTCTGGGCTCACAGTGTTTCTGGCCCTGGGAGCAAGGAGTTGGTCAATGCTTTTCGTAGCACGCTGGGTTGAGAAGAGCAAACCACTGTTCTGGCTCTCCAGAATAAACTCTGCTGAAAGAGCATTTTGCTTACAGTGAAGCTCGTCCAGTTTCTACAGGGTATCCGTTGCATGTGTTACATCTAAGCATCAGAGTTTGACTTAAATATTTGGGGGAGGGAGTCAGAAGATGTTTACAGTCTTACGTACTGCAGAACTCATGCCACTGTACTGAAGCTGAGAACAGAAAGACCTAATGCTGTATTTTTATATGCAACTGTTTTGGTAGTGGAGCTCTAGTCGCAGGAAAGCTCTGCAAAACCTCCAGTATTCCTATCAACAACTGGATTCTTTTTCTAGTATAGTCTTACTTTGGCAAGCCATTCAGGACTCTATTATCCTTAATTGTGTCTAGTTTTTCAAGCCTTTTTTTTTTTTCATTTGATTGATTATCAGGTTGCTTTTCAAGTTTCGGCCGACTACTTGATCATTCCCGTTTTCTCTGAATGTCATTTCAGTTGTGAAATATCTTTGGATCACTTCAGATCGTTTGGTTCTTTTCTGTTTTGCTCTTGAGTGTTCAGTTTTAAATATTAGTGCTTGATGAAAAACAGTAATTTAAGGTGCACTTAAAGTTGCACTTTCTTCACCATTAATTTCTCTAGTTGGGCAAAGTTGTTTTGTCTTTTTTTCTTTCAATTCCTACTGAGCTGAATCTCACTAGTAAGCTGGTGAGAGGGCTCCACTGACTGTAGATGTGGAAGGGTCTGTGTAGTACGTTAAGAGCTTCTTGATGGCACTGGAGTTTATTAATCTTTTCAGTTGTATTTCCTTATTTGTTGTTTTTATTCATCATTTGTTTGTTAAATACTGTCCATCAGCTGTTAGATACAAAAGATGGGTTTGTAAATGTCAGCTTGTTTGTTACCAAATCAATGCTGTTCTTCTGTTTTACTGTAGACTGGAAGCAGCTGCTGGACCTGTCACTGTACCATGCCTCTCAATGTCCTAGGAAAAACCTTTCGGTTTCTTGGGTATACTGTGCAATATGGCTGCATAGCACATTGTGCCTTTGAGTACCTTGGAGGAGTTGTCGTGGTAACTTTTCATTTTCATGACATTTAACAGAAAATAAAATTATAATACTGAAATTTTTTCTGTGTCATAATGCCAGTATTTCAGGTTTCTTAATTTTCTTTAAAGCTTGTTTAAATTGTCTTTAGCAGTTGCCTATTTTATTGGAGGCAGAGCCAGCCTTTAAGGAAGTTATGTCTACTTTAGGCATTCATATTTTTTTGCTAAGTTATTGCTTGAAGCATCATTGAAGCAAATAGGAAATTCTGATTAAGCATTTTTCAGAGAGTACATTCTTCCAGAAAGACTGGAGTCACTAATAATGCCATAGAGATGCTTTTGTTTCCTTTCTGGATGTTTTATTCACCCTCCCCAGGTTCTAAATCCAGCAAATACTGCTGCTGGCCATGGTGGACTTTGGGTGAGACTCTTGCAGCTTCTGTGATGATTCTCTTCTACAGAGGCTGAAGAAAGGAGCAAACTGAGCTTTGAGAGCTGCTCCTAATAATTTCCTGCAGATTAGCTGCTGAAATTAATCCGTAGGGGCTCATGGCACCTCATGTGGTTCAGGAGCAATCCTGAGCAAATGCAGAGCTGTAACAGAGCTAGAGGTGCCCTGGAGGTTGTCCTCCCCTGGTAAATTTATTGAGTGTTCCTTGGAGGGTCTCACTTCTTTAGTTGTTCTTTACATTACACCTTTTCTAATCTATTAGCAAATAATTTGAATATTAATGTATTTTAGCTAAAAGTAATTTAAAATAGTAATTTTTTTTTTCTCGTTTATTTTTAATTTGCAGTGTTCTGGACCTTCAATGGAACCAACTATTCAAAATTCTGATGTTGTCTTTTCGGAGAACCTTAGCCGCCACTTTTATTGCATTCGAAAGTATGCGCCTTTACTGGGACTAGAGTTTACATTTCATTTGCCAGAGCCTGTCAAGAACCACATTCTATCTGTCCTTTATTTTTCATATATTCTTCTGCTTCTAATTGTAACTCTTCATAAATCCCTCTCTTTGTGTCTGGTGGAAGTTAAAGTAATCACCACATACAGCCCATTGTACAACTTATCAGAATTCATTTAGAATTCTGTGTCATTTACTTGCCCATCTCACTTTTACAGCTTTGTCCAAGAAATGGAAAAAATCCCCCCCTTTTTTTTTTAATCCCTAAAAGAGTTCTATAGTGTGAATGTAACTTCTCTAAGCATTTTATTCTTACTTGAAAGCCAAGCTTTAGGTCTTGCTGTGCTCAGACAGGTTGTTAGGAAAATGACCAAATTGTGCAAGTACTATTTATCAAACGGCATTTTACTACGGAAGTGTAGAGCAACGAGGCCCTTGCCCATTTTGTTGTGGTCTGTTTCACTGTGCAACCTAATGAGCATTATCAGGAGGCAAAAGTAATATTAAAGTCTTATAAACGGAGACATCTGAAGTTCCATTGGAAGAATAACATTTGGTCGGTAGCATTTAGGAACATGGAACCCGTTCTCTTCCGTATTTATGTAGCAAAAGGATCAAGTTAAATGGCATTAATTTGATCAAGAGCATTTTCAATTAAAATGTAGTCTTAAATGTTTCATAAATTATCAAAATAACAAGGAATCTCTCCAAATGCACTTTAAAAACTCTGTGTAAAATTACACCCTGAGTAAAACTAAAGAAACCACAGTTGTAGACAAGAATTTTCAGCAGAAGGAAGTACCTTTAGTATATGTGAATATTTTTGGAGTATACACATTGATGCATATGTATTCAGCCAAACAGTTTGTACTTAGAGTTCTTCTGTTTGTTTTTGTTTCTGTTTTTTCCTCTCAGAGGAGATATTGTAATTGTGAAAAGCCCAAATGACCCCAAATCAAATATCTGTAAAAGAGTAATTGGCTTGGAAGGGGATAAAGTCTGCACAAGCAACCCTTCAGATTTCCTTAAGAGTCACAGCTATGTAAGTATTAGTTTCTTGCTTTGTAAATTTACAATTACTTAATTAGGCCTTGTAGTATGTACAGGATTTGCAATATTTGAGTATCATCATAAATCATAAAGTATGATGGTCATAAATTATTCTTACTTCTTGTGTTTGTACAGTAAAATGTTGTAATTTGTAAATTCTATATATGGCAAGCTGTCTTTCTTTTTGTCTTTGTAGGAATTATAGGCATATTATATGTTTGCTCTGCCCTTTGCTTAGGTCTTCTTTCCTGGAAGAATATTCCAAAATTCTCTGCCTGAAGTGCAGTACAGATAGTAGACTTCAGGGCTTGCTCTGTTGGCAACACTGTTTCTGTGTTTTAAAAACTAAGACATGAAAATTTTGTCTCTGTGATAGCTTTGAGGATTCTTCTTTCAAAATTATACTTTAGTGTATCTATATTTCAGTGCAGCAATATTTTATTTTATCTGAGTATGGCTGGAAAAGTAGTAATTTTCCTAACATTTCCAAAAAGTCAGGTAAAAAGATGAAATAAAAAGGAAAACATATTCGTAATGCTCACTTGTCCTTATGCAGATAGACTTAACAGAAGTTTTGAAAAATTTGTGACAAAATGTTTTCAGCAACTTCTTTTTAGGCTATCATCAGAAAAGTCATCAGAAATCATGATCACAGAAAAACATAGGTTTATTTTCCCCAAAAGCATGTTTGACCATTACCTCTGTTAAGCACCTTGTGGAGAAATCAGATTTTACACAAGTATTTTGAATCTTAATAGAAAGATACCCTGTTGCCTTTTCATATCCACTTCATCCTCACAGTTAGAGTAAGAACTAGCGTCTGGCCCAGAGCTAAAGTCCTCTATTCTGAAGGTGGAGAATTTTATGAAACACTCTGTGCAGCCAGCTACAGTTTGTGGTAAGAGTTTAGCTGCCTGGTGAAGACAGCCAGCTTCACCACCATGCCTTCAGGTACCAACGCTTCATTGGTATTAAGCAGCTGGAGTCTGTCCTTGCTGAAATCAATGGCAACATTCTTGTCAATATTGTACCTAGATTTAGTGTCTGGATTTAGTCAAGACCTAGAACCAGAAAGCAAGGATATGATTCATACCAAAATTTGTTGTTTCTTCCACTCCAGTGCTAAGGCAACACATTGCAGGCACCTGCCTCTAATCATTAAATGCCAGAACCACTGGAGGTTCTGTTTATGCTTCTGTCACTTATGGGCAGAAGGAAGGAACTCATTCTCTGTCACATTTTGAATGGGAGGAGAGAGCATTTTAGTTCTTCCATAAATCAAATTGTGTTACCATTTAACCAAGGAAAATAAACTAAAAAAACCCCACCCCAAATAAAGAACCCCAACCCACCTTTCTTACCAAGTTGAAGAACTTTTCTAGCTTCTATATGAATTTCCCAGAGCAGAACAATCTGAATTGGAAACCTGAATTCTGTGTACACTGACAGAAGACACAAACTTGAGTTTCTCTGACCATCTTGTTCCTCAATTGTTTTAGTCTTGAAAAGGAAGTTCGGGGAAGGTTTGTACTTAACAGGATGTCAGTCTGGAAACCCTGAGGTAATCAAATGAATACTCAGCAGAATAGATTCTGCCCTAGGTTTGCCTTCAATTTTAATACAGAATGTAAGGTGAATGAGAGGGTGAGGAGTGCAGAGTCCATTTCCAGTTTTAATATGAATGGTTTTTCATAAAGGCTACCGTGTGGAAATGCAGTGACATGTAAGCTTTCTTAGTTCTGACGTCATAACTTGTATCTAGGAGGAGGAAGGATGTCATGGAAATGCCTCCGTTTGCTAGTGCATGTCTGTTCTCCTCCTATCTGCAGTGGTTGTTGAAGAGGCAGTTCCTTCCATCTGTTCAGGAGACACTTCCTTTACAGAGGAGTATATTCTCAACAGAGATATCTGCACTTTATGCTCATAATTTACACTGGATTATTCACTAAGTAAACTGTTCTTCCTGGAGAGGGAAAAAGTGATGCATGTGTGTTCAGGTAATTGTCTAATCAGATCCTGTATTTCAGTGGATCACTGTGCTATGCACTTTTTCTCTTAATTCAAACACAAAATTCTTCAAAGTAAACAGCAGCAGCAGATGTACAGAGAACTGGTTATTTGTTTTGTTGATTCTGCCTCGAGAGGAATTAACCCAAGTTAGGTTTCTGCAGAAAAAGATTGTCGAAACTGAGGCAAGGCTCTGGCTGGGATCCCAAGGGGCCAGAGGAAGGTGCAATTGCAGGCACGCCTCACGCGAGCAGAGCCTCCAAACTGGCATGACTTTTGTGGTTTATATTAGGCTGCTTGTTTAAAATGAGAATTACCTGAGTGATGCTTGAAGGCAGTTACTCCAAAGTGTGTAAGTTGAGGACTCTTTGTTTTTATGAGCGAACCGCTCAGCTCTCCTTGGCTGATCTGTTTTGGGGAGGGAGTGGTAGTGAATAGTTACTGTCATGTTTGCAAACGTACCACAGTACAGTAAATACAAAGTATCAGATGGCAGAAAGCTACCAAATTAGGTGCTTTGAACCTCTGCTTCATTCTTTGCTGGTATTTGCCAGCTAATGGTGAGATATTCTGAGTTAGCCTGTTACTGGAGGTGTCAGAAGAATGGCAGTGCAACAGGCTTAATGCAGCCAAGAGTGAAACCACCTCTAGCAGCTGCTTCTCCAGTCACCCCAAAAGGAGAATCGTACTGTCAAGTGAGCAGGGATTGTGCTTAATTTACACTGACTCTGTCAGTTGAAGTGTTGGCATATTTTACAGATTTTAAGTTAGAGATTTTTGCTGTTAGAGACACTATCATCCATGATTCTTATTCTGAAGCCAAAGAGAATGCTAAAATTGGATTCTGCTTCCAATCCTCTTTCATTCATGAATATACTTCTCAGAGGTTGGGTTATACAGAGAGACAGAAGAATAGAGAATTCTGTTTACAGCTTGCTCTCTGTAAAATTACACAGATGAGATACTTTATTGGTGCAAACAACCAAGTAGATACCTGGAGACTAAAAAAAAAACCCAAACCCCAAAAATAACCTCCCCCCCCAAGAAACCCACCTTACAAGCTATAATAGCCAAAGGCAGGTTGCCTCAGGCCACC